ACCGAAACGTTACGAAGGGAAATAGAGAGATTACAATCCCATCTCGGTGAGACCGAGATCCCTATCGGTGAGACCGATTTTCCTAGGGTTTGTGGTAGTGGCTATGACATCTGAACTCGGTGGCGCCGGATAGAAAGAATCGGTGGGGCCGAGTTTGACTTTTGGTTTAGGTCATATGTGGATGTGAGAAAGTAGTTGAGGGCTTTGGAGCATATCACTAAGCATTTTGAGCAAGCGCCTCATTAAGCAACACCTCATCCCTCCTTGATAGTATTGGCTTTTCCTATAGACTCAATGTGATCTTGGATCACTAAAATAGAAAATATAGAGTCTTGAGCTTTGAGCTTGAGCCAATCCTTTTGTCCTTAGCATTTTGAGGGGTCCACTTTTCTCATCCATGCCATGCCAATCATTGAGCTTTCCTGAAATATTAATCTTGAAATAGCATTAGCTCAATGAGCTATATGTTGTTAGGAATTACCAAAACCACCTAGGGATAGTTGCACTTTCAGGGTCGGAGTCGAAGCAGTCCATGTAATCATCATTTACATGGGGCACAGATGTAAAAATCCCTATAGAATATATACTACTCCCTCCTAAAGCTAGTATAAAGTTGAGTCATCTATTTTGAAACGGAGGGAGTATATGTTAGTATGTCACCATTTGTATGCTCTTTTGAGCACAAATTCAATATTACTATTACTTTCTATAGCATATGGATCATATTTTGGTAGTCTTATACTTTTTATATTTTGGGTTAAACTTTGATGATCTACTCCAGATGGATAATAAATTCAATAGTACTATTACTCTAATCGGCGTCCTCGCACGCAAGACTATCGGTTGTGCCCGACCGCGTAGGACTCAAGAATCACGTGCTTGACCGCATAGACGTACCCGACGCGTTGTAACCGGTCATCCCAACGGCAAACGAATCGATAGAAGGCTACTTTTTACATTAGGAATGTGCGCAAGGTTAACCTACCTGCAACGTTGTGCATCAGCACAACGCCTACCTGGAATGGCACAATAAAAAGGGAATCAAGGCCAACTAGATCTAACAGTGCATACGAGCTATGTCGGTGTCCCAATAAAGGCTAGCGGGGCAGACATAAATAACTGAAGAATCACAATTTTGATTTAGTAAAACCCATCTACCGCCAACAATAACCATCTTTCTTTTCTGTTTTATTGTGTAATTGTTCTATTGTAATTAATTGAATTGGTTCAATTCTTGCCCTCATATTGAAATGAATCATGATTGATAAGGAGTTAGTTAATGATGTTTGAGAATGTACCTTTTTTAGTGTATTTTTTTATTAGTATCTATGGATTGATCACAAGCCGAAACATGGTTAGAACTCTAATATGTCTTGAACTTATCTGAATTCAATTAATGAAGATCTCCTAACATTTTCTGATTTATTTGACAGTTGACAATTAAAAGGAGATATTTTTCGCAGACTTTATTATAGCCCTTGCGGCTGTTGAAACCGCTATTGGAATAGGCCGGACAGGGAAGTCCCCTCCTCATCAAAACAAAACCAACCGGTAAGGACACATCACTATTTTGGGTACCGTGGGAATATGATTTGTCTTACAGGTTGTTGAAGGCAGTGATGTCATTGTTGATGGAAAAAATATCTTCACATATTGGCATTACATGGGAGAACAAAAGTAAATTATTGGTGTAAATGATACAATGCACAGGCCCCGCGCATACACACATTGAATAAATCATTACATACTTTATGATCTTAAAAAATGTGGTTGTATCCCGCATCCAGGATGCACATGCGCTCATCGACCACGTGCTCGTAAAAATTGTAGCAACTGAAGCCTCCCCCGCCTATGAGGTAACTTCCAAAGGGAGGAACAACCTATAGTCCAATTAGTAGAGAATCATAGTGTTCAATGTTGTTGAAATTCAAGTTGTAATCCTTTTGGAAATTCAAGTTGTAATCCTTTTGGAAATTCAAGTTGTAACTGAAGCCGCTATTGGAATAGACCGGATAGGGAAGTCCCCTCCTCATCAAAATGAAACAAACCGGTAAAGACGCACCACTGTTTTGGGTACCGTGGGAATAGAATTTGTCTTACAGGTTGTTGAAGGCAGTGATGTCATCGTTGATGTAAAAAATAATATCTTGACATATTGGCATTACATGGGAGAACAAAAGTAAATTATTGGTGAAAATGATACAGTGCACATGCCCCGTGCATACACACATTGAATAAATCATTACATACTTTATAAAATCAAGCACATCACTAATTCAAGTCGAGTGGGTGAACTACTCGGCATTCAAGCCGCCTTCAAGGAAAGGATAATCTGTGTAGCCAATGACAGGATCTTGCGTGTAGAAAGTGTTACGGTCGTACTTGTTCAATGGTGAGTCGAGCTCGAATCTCTTTGGCAAATCTGGATTAGCTAGAAAGATCCTCCCATAAGCAACGAGATCAGCATAGCCGTCGGCCACCACTTTGTTGCCTTCCTCTCGATCATACCCTCCAGCGGCAATGAAAGTGCCGTTGAATGCTTTCCTGAATGGCAGAAGCCCGTGGGGTATTTGTCTGCGACCATCCACAATTGCCATCCGGGGTTCTACCATGTGGCAATAGACAAACCCTTGATGCTTGTTGAGTTGTTGTACCATGTACATCCCGAGTGCATGTGGGTCCGAGTCGAAGCAGTCCATGTAGTCCACGAATGGAGACAACCTGATGCCTACGCGATCCGCACCAATCTCATGGACTATAGCATCAATTACCTCCACCGCAAAGCGGCACCGGTTCTCGAGGCTGCCACCGTACTCGTCGGTGCGATCATTAGAGCTGTCTTTCATGAACTGCTCCAATAGGTACCCGTGTGCCCCGTGGATCTCCACGCCGTCGAACCCCGCCTCGACGGCATTCCGGGCAGCACGTCTGAAGTCATCGACAATCAGCGGTATCTCGTCCGTTTGAAGCTGTCGGGGCTTGGAGTAGACCATGCCGGACTCAGCATCAGGTGTTATCTGCTTGTCAGTGCTGGAGATCGGCGCCTGTCCATCTGGCTGGAAATCTGGTTTGTTCGAATATAAACAGAGAGCAAGATAAGTAACAATTAATCAATCGGTGGGATCAAATAGGTTACCAACACAAAAAAACATGGATGCCTAAATGCCTAATTGCTTAGGAAAGGATCAAGTAAATCTCAGAGCGGATGATAGTGACAACAAATAAATCTCAGAGCGGTAGTACAGTTTATCAACAGAAAATAGCATGGATTCTTCTCTCTCAGAAAAATAGCATGTCCGGATTCCCAACTTACCGTTGGTGGAGACCCTTCCGACGTGCCAGATCTGGCAGAAGAAGAGAGCGCCCTTGCGGTGGACGGCGTCGACGATGGGCTTCCAGGCGTCGACCTGCTGCTGCGTCCAGATGCCGGGGGTCTCCGGGTACCCCTGCGCGGTGGCGGAGACGCCGGTGGCCTCGGCGATGAGCAGGCCGCCCTTGGTGGCCCGCTGCGAGTAGTAGGCCGCGGCGTGCGGCTGCGGGACGTTGGCGTAGGAGCGGCAGCGCGTGAGCGGCGCGAGCACCACCCGGTGGGAGAGCTCGAACCGGCCTATCCTGTGCGGCGTCAGCAGCGGGATCGCCTCCTTGGCCACCATCTTGCTCGCCGTGAACTGGATGCTACGCAAATTGCAAAGGAATCTGTAAAAATCTTGCTCTGTTTCTTGCTTCTGAGCTCTGTTTCTGTATGTCTGTGGCTGAATCAGGATGAGGGCCTGGCTGTGTATTTATAGGTGCTGGTGATTGGACCCCTCCCGTGTGGCCGTGTGGCGTTGTCGTCTTTGTTTGACCAGCCGGTCTGTTCCCGTTTCCCTGAACTTGCCACTCTCTCCGTCAGCGTATGCGTGTGTGTGAACCACGGAGCATGAGCGAGATGCATTGTATGTGGTCGTGTTCCGTTTGCGCACTAATCAAATGTGTGGTTATCGATCCTAGTAGTCGGTGTCAATGCTGGTTCATCAGCAGGTATCCTGGACTAGAGGCTTTTGTTAGCGTGCACTTCACGAAAATGAAATCTCATGCATAGCACAATGACGTTTTTCTAGATCATTTAATTAAGAAGGTGATTTCAGGTCGACATATATGCAATGGTGGAGTTTTTTAGACTATCACGGGTTATATTACCCCATGCAGCCGCTATCCAGTTTCTTTCGCGAAAGTAAAACGAAAATAACGGTTTATACAATAGATATGTAGTAGTATAAGATAAAATGTTCTTTTTCTTCCTGAAACGACTCCCACAGGATTAGGTTTCTTCCTCCTCATGTCGGCACAGTCGTCAGTCCGTCTTACATCCGATGGTCTTTGGACCGTGGAGGTGCGTCCATGTTTGATTCCCGCTCCGATGGTATGCCTAGCATATCTTTGAAGAGTGTGTGAAGGTGTGTCTTTGTCGCATATCATGAGATTCTATCGGTTCTGGTCTCCGGTGATCCAGTCTTTGTTCGTGTGTTTACATATTTGATCCTTTCGCATTATAAATTTCTTCATCGATGATAGTTGGTCTAGTGTGTTGGTCCTGTAAAGTCTTAACACGGCGATGATTGCTCTATAGACCTGTTGCAATTTTTGTAACATATGATTTTCTCTGTACTGTTATGATTTATTATGAATAGGTTGAAAATTTCCTTTGTAAACAAAGTATATGAAGATTACTTCAAAATTCTGATTACCTGCAGTAATTCTTTTCCCAATCAATTCGTGCAATTTGTTTTTCTTTTTTTGCATATACTTCCTCCGCTCGGAATTACTTGTCTCAGAAATAGATGTATTTAAAACTAGAATATATCTAGATACATCCGTTTCTACCACCAGTAATTCCGAACGGAGGGAGTAGAACCGAACGGTCACTTTTGCCCCAGGTGCCGATAGGAAGAAGACACGGGAAGGTTCTCTCGCATTCCCATCCGTTGAGTGCTACCGCAAGTGCTTACACCGCGCCAACGTCACTGCAGACGTGGGCTCCCTATCACTGCTCCCGTCGTGCGGTGCCGTGTGTGTGCACGTGTGTGTCCTCCTTGCAGAAAACATACGAGTCGGTGCCTCGAACTAGCCCGCATGCGGATCGTAGCTGGTCCATCCAGGCTCCTTGCCGCTCGCCACGGCCGCGCTGCTCCGGTGCCTCTCGACGTGATCCCACCTCTGCAGCGACGCGTACAGGTTGGACAGCCCGTACGCGGCGCCGTCGCGGCCGTCCAGCTCCGCGATCCGCCCCGCCGCCCACTCGCTCGCCGCGACGCCGTCCCCCGAGCCGCGCGCGTGGAGCAGCAGGCACCCCAGGACCTTGGCGTTGGGGCGGACGGGCATCGTCCGCACGAGCCGCACGGCCTCGCCGAGCAGCCCCGCGCGGCACAGCAGGTCCACCATGCAGCCGTAGTGCTCCGCCCCGGGAGCCACCCCGTGGGCCGGCAGCATCTCGCCGAAGAGCGGCCGGCCTCGGCCACCAGGCCCGAGTGGCTGCACGCCGACAGGAGCGCCACGAACGTCACCGAGTCCGGCTTCACCTCGTTGTTCTTCTTGCTCGCCTCGACCATGTCGCGGAACGCCCTGACGGCGTCCTCGCCGCGGCCGTTCCTGCCCAGCCCCGCGATCACCGTGTTCCAGCAGAAGAGGTTGGGCGCGCCGGGCGGCATGGCGCTGAAGACCTCGAGCGCGCGGTCCACGCTCCCGCACTTGAAGTACATGTCCATGAGGGCGTTGCTCAGCACGGCGTCGGGGCTCGTCCCCAGCAGCTGCCGGGCGGAGAGATGGACCGCCCGGCCAAAGCCGAAGTCCCCCACCTGCGTGCAAGCCGTCACCACGGTGGCAATGGTGACCGCGGTGGGCCTCGGCGTCTCCTGATCCCCCTCCTGCGTCAGCCGGCGGAACATCGCGATGGCGGCGGCTGGGTCTCCCCGGCGCAAGTACCCGGCCATCATCGTGTTATAGGTGACGACGTCCCGCAGTGATGAGCCCATCCGGTCGAACAGCTCCCGTGCAGCGTCCATCCGCCCGGCCTTGCAGTACCCGTCGACCATGGCGTTCCACGACACGACGCTGCTCGTCGCCGCGCGCAGGCTCGCCTCGAAGACTGCCCTGGCGGAGGCGAGGTCGCCGGCCCTGCAGTAGCACGTGAGCAGGGTGTTCCACGACGCGGGGGTCCTGTCCGGCTCCGGCATTCGGTCGAACAGCCTCCGCGCGTCATCCGCCCTACCCGAGGCGCCGAGCGCGGCCAGCATGGCGTTGAAGGCGACCGCGTCCCTGCGCGGCATCTCGTCGAACAGCCGCTGGGCCGGAGCCAGGAGGCCGTGCTTGCCGTAGCGGACGAGCAAGGCGGTCGCCAGCACGACGTCGGAGGCGAGGCCGAGCTTGCAGACGAGGCAGTGGAGGGCCTGCTCTTCGCGGCGGCCGCGGCATCCCGTGACCGCGCGCAGGACGGCGGCGCGGCCGCGCGGGAGCGTCCTCGGCTGCATCTGCCGTGTCTTCTCTCCCAGGAAACTGAATTTCCATTAGCTGCCCTCTGAATTCACAGTGAACTTGAGCGCAAGTCGGAATTCTCAGGTTCTTGTTTCACAAAAAAAAAAAAAAAAACTCAGGTTGACACTCAAGCACTTGGCAGGCGGCTTCGGTTTGTGCAACGAGTTTTTGTCAAATTCGGCATTGTGAAAAATTACGCACCTAAATGCTTTCGTGACTTTGCATTGATCCATTGCAATCGTCAAAGACACTACTTCATGTAAACACAATTGGGTAGCCCACTCCCCACTTTAGATATCTTATGTCGCATTGCTTATTCCTTACCACATGACACTAGTCTTTTATCATTTTATCTCGTAGTCGAACGGAGGCGATGGCATCAAGCGGGTTGTGGTCGTCAAACTTGATATTTGATACAATGACACCTAGTATGGTTGAACCTTTAACAAGTGCTCATGAGCGTTCGCGAGCGTCTAGCACAATTATCGAAATCCTTATTTTTAAAATAGACATTATAAAAATAAATAAAACCTGAGGTAACCCAATCTCCATTTCTTTGTAGTTTTCTATTATAAAACCAAACTAGTGATAAAATAAGAAACAAAAAGACTCAATTGCAAGATTTAAAGATATACCTTCAAGCACTCACCTCCCCGACAACGGCGCCAGAAAAGAGCTTCATGTCTACTACGCAATTTTATTCTTGTAGACACGTGCTGGCCCTCAAAGCGCATAATTTTATAGGACAGTAGGAATTTTTCTTCAAGTGGATGACCTAAGTTTTATCAATCCGTGAGAGGCGCAGGCTGAAGATAGTCTCTCTCAAACAACCCTGTAACCAAATAATAAAAAGTCTTTTGTGTCCCCAACACACCAAATACAATAATAATTTGTATAGGTGCACTAATTCGGTGAAGAGACGGTGATACAAGTGTAGTATGGATAATAGATATTGGTTTTTGTAATAAGAACAATAAAAAACAACAAGATAGCAATTGATAAAACGGAGCACAAACGGGATTGGAATGATTGAAAATGAGGCCTGGGGTCCGTACTTTCGCTAGTGTAATCTCTCAACAATGCTAATACAATTGGATCACATAACCATCCCTCAACGTGCAACGAAAAATCACTCTAAAGTTCTTATCTAGCGAAGAACATAAGAAGAAATTATTTGTAGCTATTCTTTCTGATCTATCTATCCAAGAGTTCATACTAAAATAACACCAAGTTATTGTTTTCGATCGATCTATCAAGAGTCCATACTAAAATAACACTTAGTTATTATTTCCGATCGATCTATCAAGAGTTCGTACTAAAATAATACCAAAGCAAATTCAAATTCATAATACTCATTCCAACACAAAGAACCTCAAAGAGTGCTTCAAGATTTCTACCGGAGAAACAAAGACGAGAACGTGCATCAACCGCTATGCATAGATTACCCCAATGTCACCTCAGGAATGCACGAGTTGAGTGCCAAAATATATATCAAGTGAACCAAAAAAATACCCCATTGTCACCACGGGTATTCATATGCAAGACATATATTAAGTGCTCTCAAATCCAGAAAAGTATTCAATCCGATAAACCAAAATCTCAAAGGGAAAACTCAATTCATCATGACAAGATAGAGAGGGGTGAACACCATATGATCCAACTATATTAACAAAGCCCCCGATACATCAGGATCGTGCCATCAAGAACACGAGAGAGAGAGAGAGAGAGATTAAACACATAGCTACTGGTGCAAACCCTCAGCCCCGAGGGTGGACTACTCCCTCCTCATCACGGTGGCCGCCGGGATGATGAAGATGGCCACCGGTGATGATTCCCTCCTCCGGCAGGGTGCCGGAACCGGGTCTAGATTGGTTTATCATGGCTACAGAGGCTTGCACGGCGAAACTTATAATCTAGGGTAACCCCGAGGGTTTTTGAAATATTTGACGATTTATAGGGTGAAGAGGGGGTGCGGAAGGCCACCAAGGTGGGCACAACCCACCTGGGCACGCCTGGTTGGGTTGTGCCCCCCTCGGGGCACCCCTCAGGTGTTTCTCTGGCCCCCTGGATGTCTTCTTGTCCAAAAAAATCTCCAAAAAGTTTCGTTGCATTTGGACCCCATTTGATATTGATTTTCCGATATAAAAAACAAGCAAAATACAACAACTGGCAATGGGCACTATGTGAATAGGTTAGTCCCAAAAATGATATAGAGTTGCTATAAAATGATTGTAAAACATCCAAGAATGATAATATATTAGCATGAATACTTCATAAATTATAGATACGTTGGAGACGTATCAGCATCCCCAAGCTTAATTCCTACTCATCATCGAGTAGGTAAATGATAAAAGAAATAATTTATGAAGTGTGAATGCTACCAAAGTACAAAAGTTTGATCAATGACAATTTCAATCACTTTTCCTAGCATCATAACAACAATTATTTCTTATAAAACTTCTCATATTAAAATAGCAACCAATTCACATGTTAAGGTTCGAACAATGAATTCTCTTGAAACTCAACAACCTATGTTCTCAGTCACCAAGCAATTGCAATTCAACTTATTCAACAAAGTCTAATTAAGAGCTCCACATACTCAATCATCATATAGTCTTCCATGATTGTTACTACTCAAAGCATATTCTTAGAACAAATGCAGCCATCGAACACAGAGAAAGATAGGGGCTTAATATTTCGCCTCCCAACTCATTTATCATAGAGATAATTGTCAACAATAATAAATCATGATCAAATATATTTGACTGGTCATATGTGCCTAGGTCTTTCCCCACCACATGATGCTTGCCCACTAGAGAATAGTTGTGGTTGAAATGAGAAATTATACTATTGACTCTTTGCATAAAAGTAAATACTGAAAAGTAAAAGATAGGCCCTTCGCAGAGGGAAGCAGAGGTTGCCATGCGCTTTTTATTTGTATGCCCAAGCTCTTAATGCAAATGAACGTCGCGTTATATTTCCCCTTATGATAGCAACCTTTATTATGCAGTCCGTCGCTTTTATTACATTGCCATCACAAGTTCGTACAACGCTCAATTTTCCCTTACATTAAAATATCAAACATATTTAGGAGCAATTTTTATTGCTTTATGCACCGATGGCAACTTACTTGAAGAATCTTATTCAATCCATAGGTAGGTATGGTGGACACTCATGGCAAGAAACTAGGTTTAAGGGTTTTTGGATGCACAAGTAGTATCTCTACTTAGTACAAATTTTTGGCTAGCAAAAGATCCTAAGCAAACACCACATGTCGGAGGATCCATGACAATATAACTTCTATGCAAATATATCCAAACATAACTCATTACTGTTGGGGAACGTGGTAATTTAAAAAAAATCCTACGCACACGCAAGATCATGGTGATGCATAGCAACGAGAGGGGAGAGTATCGTCTACGTACCCTTGTAGACCGTAAGCGGAAGCGTTATGACAATGCGGTTGATGTAGTCGTACGTCTTCACGATCGACCGATCTAGCACCGAAGGTACGACACCTCCGCAATCTGCACACGTTCGGCTCGGTGACGTCCCGCAAACTCACGATCCAGTAGAGCTTCGAGGGAGAGTTTCGTCAGCACGACAGCGTGATGACGGTGATGATGTTGCTACCGGAACAGGGCTTCGCCTAAGCACCGCTACGATATTTCTGAGGTGGATTATGATGAAGGGGGGCACCGCACACGGCTAAAAGATCAATGATCAACTTGTGTGTCCATGGGGTGCCCCCTCCCCCGTATATAAAGGAGTGGAGGAGGGGGAGGGGGCCGGCCTCTCTAGGCGCGCCCCAAGGATTCCTACTCCCACCGGGAGTAGGATTCCCCCCATCCCTTTGTTGGTTCTAGGAGAGAAGGATGGAGAGGGAATAAGGAAGGAAAGGGGGGCCGGCCCCCTCCCAATTCGGATTGGGCTTGGGGGGGCGCCCCCTCCTTTGCTTCTTTCCCCTCTCTTCCACTAAGGCCCAATAAGGCCCATATACCTCCTGGGGGGTTCTGGTAACCTCCCAGTACTCCGGTATACTCCCAATTTCACCCGAAACCATTATGGTGTCCAAACATAGGCTTCCAATATATCGATCTTTACGTCTCGACCATTTAGAGACTCTTCGTCATGTCCATGAACAAATGCGGGACTCCGAACTACCTTCGGTACATCATAACATATAAACTCGTAATATCGATCGTCACCGAATGTTAAGCGTGCGGACCCTACAGGTTCGAGAACTATGTAGACATGACCGAGACATGACTCCGGTCAATAACCAATAGCGGAACCTGGATGCTCATATTGGTTCCTACATATTCTACGATGATCTTTATCGGTCAAACCGCATAACAACATACGTTGTTCCCTTTGTCATCGGTATGTTACTTGTCCGAGATTCGATCGTCGGTATCTCAATACCTAGTTCAATCTCGTTACCGGCAAGTCTCTTTACTTGTTCTGTAATGCTACATCCTGTAACTAACTCATTAGTTACATTGCTTGCAAGGCTTATTGTGATGTACATTACCGAGAGGGCCTAGATATACCTCTCCAAAAATCGGAGTGACAAATCCTAATCTTGATCCATGCCAACTCAACAAACACGAACGAAGACACCTGTGGAGCACCTTTATAATCACCCAGTTACGTTGTGATGTTTGGTAGCACACAAAGTGTTCCTATGGTATTCGGGAGTTGCATGATCTCATAGTCATAGGAACATGTATAGTTATGGAGAAAGTAATAGCAACAAACTAAACGATCATCGTGCTAAGCTGACGGATGGGTCAAGTCAATCACATCATTCTCTAATGGTGTGATCCCGTTAATCAAATGACAACTCATGTCTATGGTTAGGAAACATAACCATCATTGATTCAATGAGCTAGTCAAGTAGAGGCAAACTAGTGACACTCTGTTTGTCTATGTATTCACACATGTACTAAGTTTTCGGTTAATACAATTCTAGCATGAATAATAAACATTTATC